ATCGAGTACTACGAGAACTTCCTGGAGGACAAGGCGCTCATGATCGCCATGGAGTACGCCCCAGGTGGGCCCTGATCACCCCCAGCGCCTGCTGCTGGTTCCTTGGCAGGTCCAGGGGGGATGCCAAGCCCTCAGCTCTTCCGTAGCCCCATGTCTTCCTCCTTGTAAAGATCCTGTACCTTGAGACTCCCAAAGAGTCCAGACACATCTCTCTTGAACAGACGTTTTTGCAGAAAGGATCTGGATGTCTTGGTGGACACCGAGTTGGCCGTGAGCTCTGGCACAGGTTGTCCAGGAAGGTTGTGGAGTCACCATCCTTGGTGACCTATCAAAAGATAGGTTGTGGTCCTGGGCAATCAGCTGTCGATGACCCTGCTTGAGAGGGGGACTGGACCAGATGACTTCCCAAGATCCCGTCCAACTTCAGCCATTCTGTGATTCTGTGGTTATATACCTTATACCTGCTAATCATATCCAAAAGAGATTTCTGATAAATGTGCTGCCATCTGCCCCTGGCTTAAGTTTCACATACATTTCCTTGTGTCAGCTCTCGGTCAGCTCTGTGTGGGAAGGCGTGATTTGTAACAAGATTTGCTGTGGAGTTTAAGACGAAATCAGCATTTGTGTGAGAGTTTGTTAGAAGTTGTATGTGAGCCCTGAATCCGGACCTCCCCTTCTCAATAGGGGCCTCTCTGTGCCACGTGGCCCCTTGGACTGCAAGAATTCGCTTTTGCAGAACAGGCTTATCTTGTTCTGCTCTCAAGGTTTATGTCTTTCTCCAAGAGCTGTAATTTTAGTGTTTCTTTTCCTGCTGCCTTTGACAATATGTCAACAGTAACTTCCCTCTCCCTGTTTGTCTGTCCCACCAACTGTACTACCGTTGTTCTCTGCATGATCTCAGGGGCATTGGAGGACACACTGTGTGTCCCACCAGGACATACTTTTTCCCAGGTGTTTGACTTGTTAAGATGCTGTAGTTAAACCCTCTGGCTTTTTTTTGCCAGGTTTGCAGTGCCCTGAGCAGCCACCCTTGTCAGTAAACCTTTGCTGTTCTTTGCAGGGGGCACGCTAGCAGAGTTTATCCATAAGCGCTGTAACTCCTTGCTGGATGAGGATACCATCCTGCACTTCTTCGTGCAGATCCTCCTGGCTCTCCACCACGTGCACACCAAGCAGATCCTGCACCGTGACCTGAAGACTCAGAACATCCTCTTGGACAAACATCGCATGATTGTCAAGATCGGAGACTTTGGCATCTCCAAAATCTTGAGCAGCAAGAGTAAAGCCTACACAGTGAGTGGCCTGGCTTTGCAGGGGAACTACTTACCACCATGGCAGCAGGCTGGAAACTCGGGTCTTGCCTCACCATGGTCTCTTAGAAGCTGCTGCAGGTAGCAGGGTTGGAATACTGCTCTGCTCCTTGGAGTTTAGGTGGGCTGATGTCTTCACACCTAAGTTTGCTGCATCTCTGTGGGCTGCAGAAAGGGGAAAAAGATCTGCCTGGGAAAGGATGAGGTGTCTGGACCCACTGATGAGGGTAGGCAGGGTTCCTTCTGCTGTCACAGTGGGAGGGGAGGTATTTGCAGGCTCGTCTGGCACAGAGTTAGCAACTAAATTCCTGCCTGTGTCCTGCCACGCTGCCTTGTCTTAATCTTGTCTCTCTGCTTGAGTCTTGTGTATCATTGCCCATCTGATCTAATCTGACCAGACGTTGATATCACGCTCATTGCTCTTAGCTCTGATTCTCTCGAGTGGATAGGAGCAAAATTGTAGATAATCTCTATATGTGCAAGGGAGGTCACCGGAAAGGCAAATCCTCGTGTTTTTTTACTGAGACTGTCAGGCAGATGTTGACACCAAGGAACAAAGGCCCAGCTCTGCTAAGCTTCGGTTGGTGGGGCTCTAGCCAGCCTGTGCACTGGGCTCTGAACTGAGCCTTTCTCTTTCCACCTCGCTGCCCCAGTTTCACTGCGTCAGGGTAAATTTCTTTGTCTCTTCTAGGTTGTGGGAACTCCATGCTACATCTCCCCAGAACTCTGTGAAGGGAAGCCTTACAACCAGAAGAGTGATATTTGGGCTTTGGGCTGTGTGCTGTATGAGCTCGCCAGCCTCAAGAGGGCTTTCGAAGCTGCGGTAAGAGGGCTGGGGTTTATATGTAGTGCAGCGAGCCGTGGCCTCTTACGAAGGTGAAAATGTGTGCTTGGATCACTCTTCTCACTGAGCCTGGAGGTGTGAAGGCAGAGGGCAGTGCTGAGAACTTCCTGCTCCTTGGCCTCACCTCTGACTGCCCAGCCACTGTACGTCTCTTGTTTTCTCTCCAGAATCTTCCTGCCTTAGTGTTGAAGATCATGAGCGGGACATTTGCCCCAATATCGGACAGATACAGCCCTGACCTGCGCCAGCTCATCCTCAGCATGCTGAACCTGGATCCTTCCAAGAGGCCCCAGCTGAACGAGATCATGGCCCAGGCCATCTGCATTCGGCCCCTTCTGAACCTCTACACTGACGTGGGCAGCGTCAAAATGAGAAGGCAAGTGGTGCTGCCACCTGAGTGACCCTTGGGAGGGGCTGCCACTTCCCACAACGTGTCTGACTGCCTCTGTTACAAGCTCCAAAGAGCACGTTGTGCCTGTGCAGCTCTCCTGCGTTACCGAGCGTGCAGCTGCTGCAGGCAGAGCCAGGCCCAGTGGCTTGGGGCCACGGCAGGTGCCATGGCAGGTGTGGGCTTGTCATCGCAGTAGCAGTTAAGAGAGAGTTGTGAGCTCAGGGGGAAGCGAACTGATGCCAACTCCCCTCTCTCAGGTGGTTTAAAGCACCTCCTGAGGCAATTGTGTGAGCTATTCAGCCGTAGTTTATGCTGTAGCTTTGCCCAGACCTTTCTGTGGTTGAGGGCTCTGCAGGTTCTCTGAAGCCGAGCTGACATTAAGGACTGGGTTTTGGTTTGGCAGGCCTGAAAAACCCTTGGCTCCGGTGCCAACAGTGACCCACAGCCGGACAGGAGGGCGAGTGAGCAGTGCCAGGCCAAGAGGTGAGTCCTGGCACCCTGTGTTCACCACAGCTCCATTCGGAAGAACCCTTTCCTTTGGATGACAGGGAGTTAGAGAGGCACTTCTGGACAGAGGAAGTTTAGAGACATCACCTTCACTGAGCCCTAGAGGATCCCATGGGCACCTTGGCTCTGGGGATCAAGCAGCCCTCTTTCTCCACCTGCCTCTTCTAGGTTTTGAGCCGTTTTCTGCTGCTCCCAGCAAAGGCTGGAAATGAACCGGTGGTGCAGGGCATGTCCCTGTGCAGGACAATGCAGCTGGTGCTGGTAACGAGTAGCTAGAGCTGTCATGGTGCTGCTTACCTCAATCCTGGGATAAGACGCGAGGAGCTGTTGCTATGTGCTTCCCTCAGCCCTGGCTGGGAGCTCCCCAGCAGCCCCTTGCCAGCCTTGGACCAAACTGCTCTGGCTCTGCTGGCTGGGAGGCAACTCTCCTGGCACCAGGCGGGCTGGTGTAATTTAGTTTCCTGTGGCAGGAGAGTTAGAGAGACGTGTTGATGATTTCTCTTTGACCCAAAATAGGCATTCGAAGTGGTTCAGCCAGGACAGGAATCCCTCCTCCGCTTTCATCCATCTACACCTGGGGGAGCGGGATCACCACCCCGCTCCGCCTGCCCATGCTCAACACTGAAGTGGTGCAGGTGTCTGCTGGCAGGACGCAGAAGGCTGGGGTCACCAAATCAGGGCGGCTCATCATGTGGGAGGTGAGTGGGAAGTCCCGCGAGGGGAACCTGGGGCAGGCAGTGGCTGTGGAAGCCTCAGATATGCCGTTTCAGAGGAGGAGATGTTTCTGCTCGCTGCGTAGGCCATGGCACTGCGTCTCCCAGGACCACTGTCTGGTCCAGGGTGTGGGTAACACTGCTAAGCCTGCGGGAAGGGGCTTGTCTGAGTTCTCCAACCCAGCTCTTGCCGCACAGAGGGGCAGCAGCTGCCATGGCTTCTCTCCCGGCGGG